CATGAGGGTGATGCAACTCAGTGCAAGGTGAATCGACATTCAAAAGTGCACGGGAAACTTGCAAGCCCGGACATGTACATTGTGATTAGGATTCCTGAGAGGGACCAGAACAGTTTTCTTTCACGGTTCAATCGACTTTTATGTCGTAAGTCACGGTAAACTTTCTCGTCGTACCAGCAGATTGCAAAATTTATTTGTGATCATACCGTTACAGATACGCCATGGAAAATTCACTAGCCCTCAATGACGATATTCGCAGGTTCAGTAGGCCAAATAAAGTTGTTCATCTGGAAGTTCCGCTGCCGGACTGACATCTTTAAGTTAATGACCGTTAACTTTCTTAAGCTTTCAGCTCTCATAATGTTTTGCAGGATCACTGGTTTATCATAATAGGTATACACATCGACTCCACGTTCATATTGACATTTCCGAACGCACGCAACTTTCAAAATACACCTTCCTCGGTCTCAACTGCTAAAATGCAGCTACATCAGTTTGCCACATGAGCCACATCGGTTGATACGGTGCTGCTCCCCTATGAGAAACACTTTCGGTGATCATCAAAAATCATTTCATCCTGAGTAGTCTAACAGCAAATGATGTATCGTGAGGAAGAGGCTGAGTGTATTTTATGGTACTCCATTGTTTATAACGGGATATGTTCTTGAGATCAACAGAAGACAATTTGCCCAACCGACAAGTGAAACCTACGAAAATAGAAAACGACTTCGGAGCGCTCAGTTTTTCACTGTTCCATGCGCTTTTCCCCGGTCATCTTTCCAGCTTCACTGTCTGGATGATACCGCAATAAGGCAAATGCGGTTTATAAACAAGTTTGAGTTTTAGGGAACACTATGCTTGTCCATCAGAAGCGAGTGTCAAAGTCCATGTTTCTATCCTTCGACCTGGCATTCAAGAAGTTTGGTTCGTTTCAAGGTCGACACACCGAACTGTCCCGATTTCGAAAAACGGAGAGCTGTCATCTTGCCCTGTCACTAGTGGCACTAATTATCCGCACACGTTGTTGTAACGGCATATCATAGCACATGATCAAGAGCTCTTTTCACTTGTATCCACATTAGCGGAATACGGTCTGTAAGCAGTGAAGACGTATAGAGGCGCACAGCTGTTGTTGGTTTACCGACGAATCAGAAAACGTTAGTCAAAGCTCGTATAGGCCATCTCTACGTAAATGTGAGCTCAAAAACTAATCTTGAGTTGAATAAAGACCAAGTACAAAACTGCCAACGAAGAGATAGAGTTTTCTATAGAAGAAAATGTTGGTAGCTCAGGTAGCGTAGATTGTTTTTGGCTTCTTCGCTGAGCTGGGCAATTTGATTGCAAACGTTTCATCGCCAATCGAGGTGACATCATCAGTGCGTTATTGGGGAACGTAGTGGTGTGTGGGGGTGGGCTGGTGGGACGAAACCCGGGCCCTCAACGTTCCACTTACCGGGAGAGTACTCAATCTACTGAGCTGCCATGGACACCGCCCTACGCGGCACAAGTGAACTTGAGTTCACATTGAATGGCCTAATGGACCAATAGTTGGTCTGCCAGCACCACCAGTGAGCCCGTCGTGCGCAGGAAGCCGCGATTTCGAGTCACGTCCAAGAACTTTGACTTTCACTTGCATTGTATGTGCTCGGGTCCATATTCAAGACCTTTCAACTCCTAGTCTCTCTCACATGAATCCAGATTTGCCGGAGGTAGTGAGTGACAGACTTCACACGAGGGGTTTTCGCAACCACGTTTCACGTTCTGATGATCCGACAGACTGGCAGACTCATTTACGGTACATGAAACCAAAGCTTCCCAATATGGATCAACGCAACCACAGACGCCACATTTTGCAAACAGGAAAACAAGTCACATCCACCAGGTAAACTGGCTCGTCAGTTAGACAAGTCAGATATCAAACTGCATGCCAAGGCAAACCCAACCGGAAAATGTTCGTATTCGTGATGATAGGTAGCTAAACATAATTTGGCCTCGGTTTACAGAAGCGGAACTTCATCATTAATCACCCTAATGTTCGTACTTGCGCACCTATCATCCTTCACATTTGAACAAAGTGGACATCGAGACTACAAAGGTCCAGGATGTTATGGAGCATTAAATGAACAACACACATAGGTGAAGTGAATCAGCAGCGCACAGAGAATTTTGTTTACTTTTTATCACCTGTCCATCATTGACTAGAAACTGCGCGCTCTCATGATTAACTTCAATTACAAATCGCTCACCGTTTATGACATTGTGCAACTGAATTTTCCGCACAAAGGACACTCCATATTCCAGTTAGCACTACTGTTGAGACATCGCAATATATTTTCTCGACAGAACACACTACCCATTTGATCGCTGAAGACCCTTCGACAAGTTCAAATCCACTCAGACGATAAGTGGGACATGCAGAATCGATCCGCCAGTTACCTGTAGTTCCCCAAGATAGGATGAAATACTTCATCCGTACGGTTAAAAATTGCCTTTTTTTCGGAAGGTCTGTCCGACCTATGAGGCCTTGATGTTCTATATTGCCCAGAATTAATACTGACCAAAGATCGTGAAGCTCAATACACTATCTGTGGTGGTAGGCGACTGGATTTCCACAGTCATATCAAACGGACAACTGCTCTTTCTAATACGACTGGCTTCCGAGAGTGAATTCGCTCAGTTATGTGGTTGGACGCATATGCAGTTACATCCTCCGGTCAAATTTCACCTACAACAACACTTGCAATCAGAGTAAAAAGATGCAACTTTTCAAATGTCACACTTTGTCAGCCCGTGGGGCACCATGAGCGGTAACCCAGTCCTTTGTGTGCACATGCATCAGAAAATTAAGCAATGAGAAGTAGTAACTTCTCGATAAGTCGCACTACAACAAAAATATCTGTGACTACTGGTAATGTGTTGAAGCATTGGTAGCTCGGATGAGTTTATTTGTTGTTGATCAGTTGGCTGTTGATCTGTTCAACGAACTTGGCACCTGGCTACCAAAGGCTTTGTCACCACACAAGGAGACGTTACCGATGCACTGATGATGTCTCCACATTTGCAAGCCAAGTGCCAAGCTCGGCGAACACATCAACAGCCACCTGATCAAAAAGCAATCAGTGACTACTGAGTCATGATAAAAGCCCAGAAATGCACAGCGAAACTAAGTGAATTTTCTCTTGAAAACTTCCGATCGCTCCTTCAGCATTTGTCGGTTTTAGTTAAATTTTCCAGTATGGTCAAGCACGTTATGTTGAGCGGAACAATTCTATTGTGTAACGTACAACGTACAAACCAACTGACAGAGCTGGAACATTTTCAGTTCACAACAAGGTCTGTTGAATAGAGAATGTAATAAAACTGACGAGCAAAATTCATTCGGTTGAACAGACCAACTTTTGTTATCGCTATCCGTTATGGGGACCAAACAGCTATAAATCTAACTCTGTCACTTTAACACTAACCATTGACTGTCTCTCACAACAGTTTACAAATTAATCCATTCTCGTAACTGCTGGCCTCGTCTTACGACTAAGCCCACGGACTCAGAAGTTAAGGGTCCATCAGAAAGATCTCCCGAACTGGCTAGAAGCTTGTTGGTACACCGTCAGATGTCAGCTTTCAATGGATTGCGATCTCAACGAGCGACGTGGATTACATCCAGGGCAGAGAAAAAATCCGGCTTCATTTGCGTATGACATCTCAGCTAGGATTGCACTGCAGTCCCAAAGTTCTATTTTCTTTCAGTCACGAATAAAGTTCAATTACAACTGGGTATTTCATTCTGAAAGTTGGTTGCCTATGCGCAAGACAGACTAAGTATTACTTCACAGTTGTTTCTTTCTCGTCGAGATTCAGTGGCAGTGCAAAAGTTACGAATATCTAGCTTAAACGTCTTGCTATTCGATCAAAAGAGGTTAAGCACTTAAGCGAAACTTAGCGAAGACGTCATTATGGTCACGTGATGTGAATTAATGTTAGAATAATAGTGAGGCCAATCAAAATGAAACTTGTGACCGAATAGCACGGTCCAAACTACCCAAATGGTTGTAGTCTTGAAATCATGTATAGATGTGTGAAACGTGCACTGCTAATAATCCCCAACAAAAACGGGGCAGTTGTATAACGCTTCTCATCTCTCTCAGTGTACATGCACTTCGATTGCGGAAATTGGAATTATTCTCACAAATCGCGAGGCAGCTAGCTGGATTAGTCAGTATCAGATGGGATGTGTGCCGACAGAGAACCAAGAAAGAACTGGAGTCTGAGGACCTGGAAGAATAAGGATAGGAAGTCCCCTGTAATTCGCAATTCGGCCACTTGCTGTTAGTAGGAATGTGGACAGATTGGCGGACGTCAATGGGAGTCTGGATGAAAGAAAAATCCCTTCTGACCTAGAAGGCATAGAACGTCAACTTCTCCTTCGAATTCCGTCGAGCATATCACTTTGCTCTGTGAAACCAGACACGCCAACGCGAAAAAAGCATGCTCTACAAGCTCTACTCTGAAAGGATTCAAAGCCAGCATAACTGGGAACACAGACGAACAGCAATCGTCAACGTTTAAGTTACGCACAACGTTGCTTGTCTGTCCGTGAATATTCACATCTAACGTTTAACTTAAACCGGATTCCCGAACACCTATAACAGATCACTACAATTATTCATTAAACAATTTGGACTCTATTCTGGTATTTCTAATTAGCACTACTATGACCGGGGTAGCTGCATACCTATCTTTTGAAGCTAAACTCTCCTTTAAAACATGATTCCTTGTGGAGTAATTCCTACAAGAGACCCTCTGCAGAGAGGGAGGGTCCAGAATAATGTACCTCATTAGACACCAGCCTGTGTGTGACCCCTTCGGATAGAGACCACATCATCTGAGAATTAAACGACCCTTTCTTGTGGTGATCTTTCTTCAGGAGGATTACATGAAACGTTCTGCTCCATAGGAAAATATGCACAGGAAAAATGGAGATTAAGTAGTCAACGACTCACGCCATTTGACAGGGATCCGTTGTGCGACAAATCGACCGACAAGGACAGCAAGGCCTGTACACACGGCATGGCCGAGGATGCCACCCACAATAACCCCGGAGACACTCTGTGAGTGGGAAGAAGAATGGGAGAAACAATGGCTTACGCAAGCGCAGAAAGCCGAACAGTTAATAATTTGAGAACGTGAGACAATTATTAGAAGTCATCGCGTCTGTACCTCGTCTCTTCTTTTGCACTCATGACTACCTTGAAAGTTTGACACCAGTAGATAAAACTATATATCCGCATTTATGGACATTCATTCAGCTTCCTAACAGCAACAACCCCAAAAAGTGCTCCTGTAGTTGGATTTGTGAGCTCGTGAAATTCGTTGGTCAGAACCAGCTACGGAGCTAATTCTCTCCAATGGATAGCACAGTGTCTTCAATATCGTAGTAATAAATAATAATCGTTCAGTGGTAGTATCCTTTCAGTGCCTAGCTGACATGTCACCCGAAAGAAGCATGAGGGATGGGATACTGCCAGGTCGCCCAAGCCTACACAGAAGTCCAGATGCATATGCGGGTTCGAACCATGGACCTCACGGTCATTAAATTCGCGCTCCAACGACTGAGCCCTAATATCAATGCCCACGAGGGCTAACACAGCCCTAGCTGGTGCATACATCGAAGAAAACCAAGAATGACTGAAAACGAAAGGTAACGTGCTGTGGTGTTCCACTTGCAACGCGGCGAAACCTGCCGAGAAGAGACATTTTCGTCGATGACATAACCGTTAAGGCACAGGGCTTTTTTACAATGCCTGAGCCACAGAGTAAACCCTAGGATTTTTCGGTTCTCCAAAACGATGAGTTACTCAAGAGAGAACGTCCCAAACGTAGACCATCATGTGAAAAGAGGACTATGGATGCATCATCCCGTTACATTGGCCGGCTGTTACTGAGTGGACTACATTCGACTCATGAGTTAGCCTAGGATGTGCGCACAGTACCGATTTTTTTTTGCTATTTACAGTTGAAATACCCGATGTTTACGGGTTCCTAATAACTACCACTGAGTGTATTGTTACCCTGGAGCATATCATTATGATGATTTACTTCGTTTTCGGTTTATATTCGGGCTTCACTAAGTGACAAGAAGTTACTCGTACGTGAAGACCTGAAGGTGACAACCGTAGTGGTTCATCACTTTAAATTAGTACGTCTCGGTCAAGAACAAGTAACAAAACGAATAGCTGGCATACTCGCTACAAGCGAGGTGAAATAATCCACCGCACCCTCACAAAAAAACTGGATAAATCGGGAACCCATTGTCCACGACACGAGGGCACCGGCATGTTTGTTACCAATACGTCCCCCGCCCAAGAAGAAACATCCCTAAGAAATATTTCTGGATTGTTCACGTGAGTGATGTGAATCAACGCCCAACGTCCCGAAAACCACTTACAAGTAACCACAACATATCAAGTTAACATGCCGCACAGGGCTGATATTCAAAGTCAAAGACATAACCCATAGAACTATACTGTTGAGTGTATGTATGACATTCAGAGACTCTCTAATATCAGGTCGGTCAATAGGTAGAAGTCCGGCTGACAATGATACCTGATTCTCCGAGCTTGGGTTTGGAACGTGACTGACGACTTGCTCCTTAATGATGTTGATTACCACCACTGCCTTGCAGTTTGGCTTTTGAGACAAAAGATTCGGGTAAAGATCCTAATCGTCCTCATGTCCAGCTGCACGCTTACAGATAATTTCATGCCATATCGGCCAATGTGTGGAGTTATCAACTGAATCGCTTCACTAGCTACACATAACAGAGAGGGTAAGGGCAAACAAGCGAGTGCTGACGCATCCATTCTTCCTCTTTCACATATTCCTCCCATTCATCGTTTTATCACGTTGCCAGAAACATTTACGTAGGCCCCCCAACCTAAAGCTGCCACCTGGAGGTGGTGGTCAGGCTTGATTGCCGAAATCATCCTGCGGATTACATTGGCTATCTCACCCGAGTTCACCACACTAGGCGGTGTCAGGAAAGGCCGTATTCTTTCACCTTTCCTCTTCAACTTCGCCACTGATACCATTATGGAAGAATCACGACCAGCCTCTGATGACCTCGAGGCGTCTACTCACAGATATCGAGTACTTAGGCAAAACACTTCCATCCGCATTGGGGAGGCCAGGGCAGATTTCGTGAACCTGTGTAGCCCGTGACGTTGTCAACTCATCCGTCAAGGGTCGAGTTTACAATGCTGTGGTGCGCCCCATATTACTACAGGGGTCAGAAACCTAGCTACTGTGTCAAAAGATTTTCAGTGTAAGACCATCGATATGTTCGGAGCACTGCCCGGGTCTGCTGAGAGCACCAGATCAATAATGCTTAAGTTTTTCGGATGGTTTTCGCAAGAAATAACTCATCTACGATAGATTAACTGATCACATTCCACAGGTTGTGCTGGCTTGCCCACATGCTCCATATGCCAGTCGACCAGCTTCACTGAAGGGCACTTTTCGCACAAACAACATGAAGGGTAGAAACAAGCCATAGGTCAATGGTTTGGTCGTGAAGTATGAAAGGCACTATCGGCCAACTCAGCTGCGCTGGTCACTGCCGTCCACCTGGAGGAAGACGGCGAGTCGGGACACATCAATGGTTGAGGCTATTGTAACACATGACCCAATCACGCCCTCAATGGCGCTCGTGCATCCAAGCTGTTGCCTTCACTACATAGCTTCCCTCTCAATCTCCCCAATGAAAATTACACCGATACCACTGTGTTCATACATCAATTATAGCAGCTAACGCCTCCAATGCGCAGCTATCTACCCCACATCCCCAAAGCATCAGTGAACGAAACTATTGCCCGTAGAACAACACGTTCGGCAAGTACGCGGTTATTACAGCTGATGGTGATGATGCTCATCCTTAAAGACGGACAGATTTGTTAGCTGCAACGTCTACGATTAACTCAGACCACGGTAGTAGACAACTTCGGACATTCATCAAACGCCGGTTCCTGGTTCATCACGAAGCTAATCATGCTTGGACAAGCTGGATAACAGTCTGCACTTGCTTGTATGCTACAGTGAAACGAGAAATAAAGGAATAATTAAGGTTGGTGAACTGGCCTCCGCTGACTTCCAATTGCGTACCTCTGGTGACGCAGAAACCAATGCGGCTGCTTCTGCAGGTGTTGGTATCGCTTAAGCTACCGGATGGAAGGGTATCTGTTTGAATGCCTACCCGCTGGCAATATCCCCGTGTCCGGTTAGGAGATGCGTAGTAAGCGTACATTTCACCTAACCATTGAGAACTTAATGTGGCACAAGCCTACCGAAACCTATTTTTCGGACAAAACATCTTCAGACGTTGGATCTCACTGAGAAGTACTGTTCGCAACTTTGAAAGATCGGCGCAACCAACTATACATAAATAATGGACCGCGAACATCCTAAAACTGCATGAAGCCTCGGCGCATATTCTTCGTGGTCGAGAGTGCAATACAACTCGACAAACTGTCAGAAAAAGGGCGTTTGTATTGATCGAGAAGCATTCTGCCTCCAAAAGGCTGAGTGAGGAACCCTGAAAATGTGAGAAAACTCTTCCAAATGATGTACGCACCAAGCCCAAAAAGCGCTAGAACGAGCGAAGCAACTGATGGTAAAAACGGCTCACTCATCTCTAAGAACACCTGATTGGTTGGGATGAATACTTTTAACAAGTTAACTGACTACCTGAAAGTGCTTACACAGATTCTCAACCCGCAACGCAGTCACAGACATGGAACTTGGAACCCCAGATGAATTACGAAATACACGAATGCATCTCTTCACTCAAACGCCACGGAGTTGCTGGTTCTGGCGACCCCTAATCCGCTCTCTTCATGGATGGAAGTGAAATCCCCAGTTGACGACTATATAACTTACTTGCCTCTATTGTGGTGAGAGACCGTCCCAGCAAGCTCCAGAATTGAGCGGACGAATTCGGAGAATGCTTTAGTGTCTCCTCGATATGCCCTGTTCTCCCCACTTTCTGCTTCGGTATTTCAAGTGTCCATCTTTCAAGCGTACGTTTTGAATATGCGATGGGATTCCTTGCTCCACATAGATACATGGACAGAAATGCACTATGGTGAGACTAAAACGGTCAGCTTCAGTATCGATCAATGGAACATGGAGACGCATCAACCGTGACATGACGGAAGATTCACACTTCCCAGTTACTAATCGACCAATTGACTAGTCCATCACTCACTATCAAAAAAAGGATGGAAGAGCAGCCAAAGTTTTCGGTATAATTCATCCCTATGACTGTAGTAAAAATGCGCAGTGTAACAGTTAACGGCCAGTGGTGCAATATATGGGGGCGTTCGCTGAGTAATCACGCCTACATAAGCTTAGCTTTCAAATGGCACCGGTAAACGCACCCGGCCGGTAGGCATAAATCGGAACCTCAGAACAGGAGTGAGTACCAGGCAACGGCCGCGCTTTTGCACAGAATCAATCTTGGAAAATAAGACCGGAGGATAAACAATACACATCATGTCTGTTATGTTCGGAATACTGAAAAATGAAGCGGAAACCCCTGAATACATAGGTGGTAGAGTTGTGGACTGATTTAAGGTCGCGAACACTCGACAATCCTGGAAAATCTCATTAGTATCCCTGCTGAAAAAGCAGTTTTCACCTGTATTGTGCTTCACATTTCAGCAATAGTACGTCAGGGAAACGGGTAACTGAGTCTGAGATTTTGCTGAACTGAGGGACATGCCTGAACAACTTTAGTATTGCAGTGCAGGAGGTAATTAGAATACTAAGTACTAAGTTTTGCCTGCTTGTGATTTTCTGAGGCACTGGATGCAAACCAACCTTAGTGGCAGCAAGTACAATCGTAGTGAGCTGAGATCGATCCCCCCATTCGGCCAGAAAGGTCAAGATGAACGCTTCGGCTAGTATGGGGGAAAATATACGCTTCATGGTGTAGCGGATAGTTTCCCTGGTGGATGACATCTGAGAACTGTCCACCTTCCCCATTTCCAAATCCGTAGAATTGGACTGTGCGAGTTGCAATTTGACTTCTTCGTATTCATCTTGGGCATCGGTGGGAGACATCTGGTAAGCTGAGAGTATAGAAGTAACGCCAACTGTTGACCTACCGTCATAGATCATTTTCACGCCGAAAAGCAAGAACAGCACTCCAGAAAGGTAAAAAGTGAAAGATCTAGGAATGACCGTAGTGGCGTAACCAAGAATCGCTAAAACCGAAAATAAGTTGAAAGCAATTTTACCTGAAAGAACAGTCATTGTACCTAGCGCACACATCGCGCCAGCATATACGAGGCACCTGGGATGTTGCATAGACATAATAGCGGCGATAAAAAAAGTTTTGTCGCCGAGCTCTGATATAATAATAACGTAAAGGGACGCAGTAAAGCCCCGAAAGAATCGATCCAGAGAAACATCTGACACCTCCGGTGATCTTCCGACGGACGTCTGTGAATAGCATATACAATTGTAACAAGTGAACTTGCGTCGGCTTCATTGGTTGGAACTTTACTAAGCGTGTCGCCGTTTATACTGCACAACAAATGGAACAGGCAAATGGAAAAGAAATGGACATAATGTAAGTAAATCGCCGGTCCCATCAACAGTGTGGAAGTTGCTACCCGCAGGAATCAGCCGGGCCGAAAGAACGGAAAAGAATCAGGCGACAGTCGTCAGTACTTCGGTGACTGATACACGGAAGTGAGAGTGTCTCCCAAAGTATCCGGCTTGAATTTGATCCTAAAACGTTCCCAAAAGTATCACCTCACCTAAAAATAGGTGGATAAAAATGTATTGCACTTGGGACTGAGGTTAGAATCATGATTGTCGTCATAGACAGTGTGATGCCTCACTACCGTACAATCACAAAGTTTATCTAATTAGATTTAAAGTGAGTGAAAAGGATAAGAGAATGGGTGAGGAAGGGGGCCTGGAGCTGGCCTATCGCAAGCGTTCTGAGGCGCCTACACCTCCAGGCGCTCAAGCACGGAAAACAGCACTCGTCCCGGTAGATCGTGTTTCAGCGTGCATGTTACAAGGCCGAGCCACAGTAGTTGATGGTTCTGGATGTTTTCCGCGAGTGAAGTGCCTGCTGCACAACCAAATATCCGTTTTCTAATTACCTCGTTACTAATCCGTTGATGCCATCCGACACCAGTAGCGCTTCTAAGGCATTGATGGTAAAAACCCCAAGAAGCCGCACATCTTCTGTCCGCAGAGGCTGTCTCGCAAACGCACAACAATATGTCCCCATTGCAGCCACAAATGACCCAAGTGAGCAACCATGATTCGAGCTTTGGGGATTCGTGCACTGACTTCAGCAGACAATTCTGTCAAACCTAATACCACCAGAGGTACATGAAATTCTCCACAACCTAAAGTGGCTCTCCTTGAACTGTAAGGAGTATTTTTTTTCAGAAATCTAACGTTCTGAAGCATGACATTGCACTTCCAAGTTACAAGCCGTATGCCAAAAGATGGTATAATGGTGATTGGTTTGGTCAACAGGGCTTGCGCTTCGCCTTCGTCTTCAAAGATGAGAACGATGTCGTCTGTGTAATCGGGACCAACGAGGGTCTCACTAGCAACGGTTTGAACACCAAGGTTATGGAGACCAGTATTTCAACAATAACAAAGTAGAACAAAAAACATCATCAGCATCAGCTATCGCACAGTGGTTCTAGCAGCCACAGATTCGTACACCTGTGGTTTGGGGAGGCGGTGCAGGTAGATGCGCATTGGAAGCGGGAGCTGATAATTTGGTGTGCAAATACAAGCCTGTCAGTGGACTGTTCACTGATGGGTTGAGAAGGAAGCTATGCATTAAAGGCAATAGCTTAGACGTACGAGCACATTGAGGGCGCGACTGGGCCATGTCTGACAATGTCTCTAACCATTGACGTGGTCCGTCTCAAGGTGCCCATCCAGGAAGATGCCAGTGACCAGAGAAGCTGAGATTGCTGGTAACAGCTCTTACACTTTGCTGCTAAGTTATTGCTTGACCTCCCCTGGCTCGTTCAGGTGGTTATGTAAAGAGAACCCGTCATGAATAGTCCTTGTGTTCACATTGTCGTTTTGTGCTAACCATGCTTTCGCCTTAACTTTCAGCTTTACGTACGTCCATTCTTAAACAAGTAAAGCGTTAATCATTCTACGCTATTCACTCTTGTTCTCGCGCTCAATCAGGACCGATATTCTATTCATAAAAATTTACTTGTCTAAGAATACAACGGAACTGTTGCTGCGACCCAAGTGTTTCGACACAGATCCAAATCCTCCAGACGCAACAACGCGTTAGAATCATTGGTTCCGAACCTTCCAAACGTTTCTGGGCACTGTCGAATCGCCTAATCTAAATAAACTTTGATCCATTTTGTAGATGCACCTGTAAACGGTTACATCGCTGACTGTCCAGATTATGAATCCGCTATCAGTACACTTGAAAAGTTGTACGTTCGTCCCAAGAATATAATTTATGCTCGTCATCTTCTGCAAACTTGCAAACAAGACACGAGTCAAGATGTTGAGCAGTTTGTTCAGAGGCTTAAATCCTTGACCAAAATTTGCGACTTCAAGGTGGTGTCCGCCACTGACCATCAAAACGAAAATGTACGCGATGCTCTGATCAACAGAATTCAGTCTACTACCATCAGAGAAAGACTTCTGGCCTAAAATGAACTCACTCTCGATGAAGCACGTGAATTGGCTAGGTTATTAGAATTGGCCTACAAACAACCTCAGTCATACTCGCATAACCAGGCGGCTGCAGCACCTTCACAAACATCTGCAGTTACCCCTCCACACTCAACCTCCCCTTATATCGCGTCAACCAATTCCCAGATATGTTACTTTTGCGGTCGTTCCAGACATCCACGGTCAAAATGCCCCGCAAGAGCAGTTCGTAAATCACGTGGCAAAACAGACCATTTTCAGCGAGTTTGTCGATCCAAGTTTGTAAAAAAAAACATTCAGATTGCACGACGAATTTTGTCTTATCTTCCCTGTTGATTGCTGCGGCCCCGAACTGCTTGCCCCGCACGGTGACCAGTATAAAGGTGAACGGGACATCGCCTCAGGCCCTCACAGATATAGAAAGTTCGAGCAGCTATATATCTCCTTTGGTGGTTCGTAAACATGGCTAGAAGATTTATCCTAACGATTCTGCGATTACCATGGCATCTACCTTTCTGACGTGTTCAACTAGAGGCTACTGCTACGCATCCATCGATCACAGGGGTACCGTTTGAGAAAAAATCAAAGTATTGGTATTACGTAGTCTGTGTGGTGACGTGCTGCTAGGCCACGACTTCCTTGGTCTACATAACAAAGTTGAAATCATATTCGGTGGAAACCGAGGTCCATTCACCCTTTGCGGTCTACCCGCTGCTACGGTCGTATAACCTTCTTTTTCCTGACCCGATTGCGAGCCTATCGTTACAAAATCACGACTTCATAATCCTGATGATGAACAGTTCATCCGCTCTGAAGTTAATCGACTATTGAATGAAGGTATAATCGAACCTCCGAATTCTCGCTGGAGGGCTCAAATACTGGTCGTGAAAAATTCAGACCACAAAAGACGCATGGTATGGACTACAGTTCGAGCAGCTATATATCTCCTTTGGTGGTTCGTAAACATGGCTAGAAGATTTATCCTAACGATTCTGCGATTACCATGGCATCTACCTTTCTGACGTGTTCAACTAGAGGCTACTGCTACGCATCCATCGATCACAGGGGTACCGTTTGAGAAAAAATCAAAGTATTGGTATTACGTAGTCTGTGTGGTGACGTGCTGCTAGGCCACGACTTCCTTGGTCTACATAACAAAGTTGAAATCATATTCGGTGGAAACCGAGGTCCATTCACCCTTTGCGGTCTACCCGCTGCTACGGTCGTATAACCTTCTTTTTCCTGACCCGATTGCGAGCCTATCGTTACAAAATCACGACTTCATAATCCTGATGATGAACAGTTCATCCGCTCTGAAGTTAATCGACTATTGAATGAAGGTATAATCGAACCTCCGAATTCTCGCTGGAGGGCTCAAATACTGGTCGTGAAAAATTCAGACCACAAAAGACGCATGGTAGTGGACTACAGTCAAACCATTATTGGTTCACATACATAGACGCGTATCCGTTACCGCGACTGGATAAAATGATCGAAGAAATTTCCCGTCATGCTGTCTTCAACACATTAGACCTATTCAGTGCATACCATCGAGTTCCAATCAGTGAGAAAGACAAACCGTATACGGCTTTTGAAGCATGCGAGCTGTTTCAGTTCCGTCGTATTCCTTTCGGTGTAACCAAAGGAGTAGCACGCTTTCAACACACTACTGACCGTATAATCAAGTCTGAGAACCTACGCTTACACCGACAACGTCACTGTTTGTGGGACTACCCAAAGTGAGCATGACCAGAACCTCAAATCTTTCTTTGTAATGAGAAAATATGGAATTAACCTTAACTGTAAGAGAAGCATCATAGCAGCCGTAAAAGCATGCCTCCTCGGCTATGAAGTCTCTAAAGGAATTATCAAACCAGATCCTGACCGAATGAGCCCTATTTGTCCACCGCTCATCCACATAACGCTAAATCCCAACGAGTTGTTGGTATGTTTGCTTAGCATTCGCAATGGATGGCATGCTTCTCTGACAAAATCAGTGTGCTTGTCAGAAAGCGTGTGCAAAAGCCCCTCTAAAATTAAGAGTTAGAGAACGCTATGGTTGTGACAGTTGACTACAACGCACCGTTGGTTATCGAGATGGACGCCTCAGACATAGCCATTGCTGCACCTCTGACTCAGAACGGCCGACCGGTGGCCTTCTTTTCTAGAACACCGACACCGAGCTGTTGAGAAGAAGGCATTCGCCATCGTTGAATCTATCCGTAAATGGAAGCATCATCTCTTCAGGAAGCACTTCAAGCTTACCACTGACCAGCAGTCAGTTTCCTTTATGTATGGTTTGTCGCAGAAAAGTAAGATGAAAAATGATAAAATCCAGCGACCGAAAATGGAACTCTCCGCTTTTAGCTACGATGTCAGATACAGATCTGGAAAAGACAACCTGGTTGCTGAAATCTTATCGCCTAAACTATGCGCTAATGTGGTCGGCAGCGGTAACTTGGAAGAAATTCACGAGTCCTTGTGCCATCCCGGAATTACTCGCATGCACCACTTTATTCTTTCCAAAAACTTGACGCTTTCCCTCCAAGAAGTCAAAGACATCACCGCAAAGTGCAGCCATCAAACCACAGTTTTACAAGTCACTTCCCACTAGGCTCAGCAAAGCGACTCAGCCACTCGAACGAATTAGCATTAATTTTAAAGGACCTCTACCTTCTGTTGCTCGGAACCGATATCTCTTTACCATCGCTGACGAGTTTTCTCTTCCGTTTGCCTTTCCCTGCGCAGATACATGTGCATCTACAGTTATTAAATGTCTATGGGAATTATTCTCTTCGTTTGGAATGCCTGCATATATACATTCAGACAGTGGCTCCTCATTAATATCTGACGAACTGTCCACATTCTGACATGATAGAGTTTGCACCAGCCCAACAACTTCTAATAATGCCCAGATGAACGGCAAGTCGAACACCTCAACGGGACACTCTAGGAACGCAATCCAGCTCAGACTCAAGAAGAAAGGCCTTCAAATGTCACTGGGAGTCGGCCCTATCAGATGCCCTCCATTCTATACGGTCCTTTCTCTGCGTCTCCATGAATGCCACTCTACATGAACGGATGTATCGGTTTGAACGTCGGTCATCCTGTGGTTTGTCTATAC